ATTCCCTTTCTTTATTAAAGGGGAACAATAAGACCATCTGTCCCATCAACCTCAGGACCTTTGTCCTGAAGATCAAATAATAAAGACACTCTAGGGGTTTTCTAAGCTGTGAAGCATTCTTCCCCAAGTCTTCCACCCAACAGGAGCAAATACACTGCTAGGGCCTCAGGGATAAAGAGGTTACTCAACTCTGACCTTAGGTGAGAACTGCCTTTGAAAGCAATGCTTCCAGTAACTATTAGGAAAGAGAATGAAAAGAAAGTGGTTCGGAGAATTCTTAGACTTGATAGGACACTGGGACCCAGGTTGCCTCCCGAAGTGGAAGGCAGTATGGCAGAGGAGGGCAGTTCCTGAAAGTAATGCCAGATCCATGGGGGCCAGCACTCGCCCAGCACACCAGTATTCCTTGTCATTAACCTAAGTTTTTAGAAGGCTGCTTGCATATGTTTAAATGAACTTGGATTTAAATTAACTTTAAATTAACGGTGTTAATGTTAACTGCTCACTCCTAGAAGGCAGATTAAAACACACACACACACACACACACACACACACACACAAACACACACCCCACTGGGTTGAACAGTGAATTGAACTTGGAACAGGGACATATCCAAGGAGATGCTGTTGAAGTGTTGAAGATTAAGACACTAGTGGCATCACCACCCACCCACTGATCTTTAAAATGATCAGAGTTTTGTTTTATTTTCACATTACTGAATCTGCAGGGGAGAAAATTTGACACCCCAAAATGTGTCTCTTTAGAATGACGATTAATTTAGGCTGATTATTCTTGAGAAATAGAAAACCCAAGAAGTTCTTATTTCTTACCTCCCCTCCTAACTTTCCATAATAATTGAGACAGATGACCTGCTGCAGGAATGGAGCTATCACCATAGATAACTACAGTATAATATGATCTAGGTATGGTACACAGGGAGGATCCTGGAAAAGTCTGTTTGTTAGAATTCCTCTCTATGTCCCATTGTTTCTAGATGGCCCAGTAAACATTTGTTTATCAGACATTTACTGTGTTCATTTTCAATTGTCTTCCTTCCCTTTGTACCCTACCCCTTTCTTCTTAGTCCAGAGTGACATATACACATCATTTTGCCTGTTTTTGGAATCTTTTATGTTTATGTGAATCCCCTGGATGTACATAATTAAATGTGATTTTCTCCTGTTAATCTGTCTCACGTCAATCTAATTTTTAGACTAGCCAGAAAAATCTTAAAAGGTAAAGAATTTTCCTCCTCAACAAGTCCGTTTCATTCAGCTAAAAAATTCCAAAAACAAAAATCCAAATTAAACTGATAAAGAATCATAATTATCCTGATATTTTAGAAATTGACAAGACAGTGGCACTAAGGAGCTAGGCAGGTAGAACAGAAAGATTAGGTAAATGAAAGCTACCTCGCATCCATGTTCTCTCTCCTCCATAGTACGCATCAAGGTGCAAAATCAAGAACTCAATTATGGCTAATACGATACACCTAAGAATAGTGACCCTTCTAGGTGGTTTCTATGCATTGACCAGTGATTTTCTTTTTTTTTTTTTTAAGATTTTATTTATTTTATTTGACAGACAGAGATCACAAGTAGGCAGAGAGGCAGGCAGAGAGAGAGAGGAGGAAGCAGGCTCCCTGCTGAACAGAGAGTCTGATGCGGGGCTCGATCCCAGGACCCTGGGATCATGACCTGAGCCAAGGGCAGAGGCTTTAACCCACTGAGCCACCCAGGTGCCCCTGGCCAGTGATTTTCAAAAATGTCCCTGACCAGCAGCATTAGCAGCATCTGGGAACTTGTTAGAAAGGGAAATTCTTATGTTGCAGGCCAGACTGACTAATCAAAAACTCTGGAGATAGGGGCCTAGGATTCTGTGTTTTACCAGCCTCCTGGTTAGTGGAATACACACTTTGGTGGTAACAGAATCACCTGGGAAATTTGGTTAAATTACTAAGAACCACCGCCCCCTTCCCAGCTCTATCCCATACCTATAAACCTGGGCCTCTAGAATTAGGTCTCCAGGTGATTATGGTAAACACCAAAATTTGAGAACCTCTGGTTCTAACACATGAGAGTACTGAGTTCTAGGCAAATGCTGATGAAGAAATTAATAGCCCACCAAAATGACAAGAAATTTACTTTAAACTAAAAGCATCTGCTCAGTGGCAGTAGTAAGAAACATTGCCTAAACTTAAGCAGAGCCTCCCAAAAGTATAGTTGCAATTGGCCCTCCTTTTCTGAGGGCATTTCCAGAGTAGGAAAAGACTGACACTTAACACTGGGAAGTGTGAAAATTCTTGTCCTGCCCACCAGCACCCAAAAAGCACAGTAGAAACTTCCATACTTGCCCACTAAAGCCCTAAACTACCCCTCTTTTTTTGTTGCTGTTGTTAAGTTGGTATATAAACCTTTACCTCTGGCTACTCGAAAAGTTACTCATTACTAAATATTCCCTTAAGCGAATATAAATAAACCTTGTCTTTTTTCCTTCATTTTTAGAGATGATAAAACTGAGCCTGATCTGCAATTCCAGCTATCTAAACCCACCACACTTCAAAGATTTAAGCTCAAATACCAACTTTTTAAAGAGGAAAATATAGAAATTGAATAACTTTGCATACATATCCTAGGCGATATAAAACTCAGAATGTCATTTTTAATTGGTGATATTCTTTATGAAATAAAATGGAAGGAATGGAAAAAATTAATTCTTATACAATCAAAGTTAGTAGTATTTATAGGCTTATTCATCAAACCAGAGCAGAAATTAATTGAATGCAAATTCCTAGAAATTGGTCTGCAGGCATCATAAATGTGTGAATTAATTGTGATACCCAAATATTCTGTCCACATCATCAAAAGTCTGAGGAAAAAAATATGGTAATTTTCTTCCGTGGAGATATATATTTGTAATTCAACTAATATCACACAAATTAATATTGAAGAGATTCACAGCAGACTTCCATATTCCATCAATGTAACTATGATAGACCATAATGAGATTATAAAAAATTAAATTTGCATCCTATACATTAGAAAATACTAAGCTTCCAGATACTTTGATAATACCTTACATTTGTATAGCACTTACAGTTTACAAATTATTTTTTCTCCATAATTTCCTTTGAGTTTCATGTCATGGGAGTTGGTACAACTCTACTTGTACTCATTTTATTTTATTTTTTAATATTTTATTTATTTATTTGACAGAGAAAGATAATGTGAACAGGGAACCCAATGCAAGACTTGATCCCAGGACCCTAGGATCATGACCTGAACTGAAGGCAGGCACTTAACCAACGAAGCTACCCAAGAGCCCCTAATTGTACTCATTTTAAAAGAGCAGGTAATACAGGCTTAGACTACAGGTCTCCTGCCCTAGGATGCAGGGCTTAGCAGAACCCAGATACCCTGACTCCAAATCTGGTTCTCTTTCCGTTAATACCACAAAAACAGGTCCTATGGATGGAAAAGACTAATATATTTAATTTTACTTTTTTAATATTTTATTTATTTATCTGACAGAGAGAGAGAGAGATCACAAGTAGGCAGAGAGGCAAGCAGAGAGAGAGGGGGAAGCAGGATCCCTGCTGAGCAGAAAGCCCCATGCGGGTCTTGATCCCAGGACCCTGAGATCATGACCTGAGCCAAAGGCAGAGGCATAACCCACTGAGCCACCCAGGCGCCCCAAGACTAGTATATTTTAAATGATAAATCCGTCCTTGCAAGGACAATATGTATATATCTTCTCATAATTTTTTTTAGGAACATTGTTTGAATGACCTAAGAACAAATAAAAGCTAATGAATAAACTCACAATATTTTTTAGAAGAAAATTCACAAAGGAATAGGAATACACATATCCTTACCTCTCATGAGTCAATGTGTAAGCCAATCTACCTCTCCACCAACCTCATCTTTTTCTCTTAGGGGAAGCAACATTGTCCACTGATTACACTGAATCCTTTTTGAAAACTCAACAGACAACAGCAGTGAGAATAATCACAACCTTGCCTGGGATAAAGTGGGAATTCATATGAAACAGAAGGCCAGTTGATGTATTTAGTAACTTTACTAGTGTGAGAGTTTTTTTTTTTTAATACATGTACCAACTAAAGACTTTTATGCCCATTTACACAGAATAGCACTTGTATTATGAAATGGAGTCTTTGAACATCTTAAACTAAAAATTGAAAAGTTTCACTATTCCCTTCAGTTTCAGCTGAAGAGTTCAGAGATCAGGTTCCAGCATAATATTGAATATTTGCATAGCATTTTGCAGTTTCAAAGTTCTTCTACATGCACTGTGTCTTGGTTAGATTTTCCAGCTATCTAGTGAGATTCGAGTTATTATCATCCCTATGTCACATATGAAAAAATTGAGGGTAAAGGAGAGCATCCTTCCCAAGATCACAATGAAAGCAGCAGATGGAGACTCAGGTCCACCTGACCCCAAATCTTATGTGCTTTTTCCACCTCTCCCTTGATGCCTACCTTAACAACGTCTTCCCCCAACCATGCACCACAAGCCACTTCAGAAGAGACTAGTTCAAATACTGGTTTCCTTCTTCACACATGGAACCAAAGTCTTAAACAAACAGGGATCTTCTGTCCTTTTCCCAATTCTCCTGAAAGGAGATGGGAAGATGAGCCTCATTTATCCTTATCTTTCCAAGACAACAAGGAAGACGTCTCTGCATGATTCTGGTGACAGTACAAAGCTGGGTAAAGGGATCCTTACAGTGTAAACTGCCTTGCATATATTGTTTAAATCCCTGTGAAAAATGGTCCTTCCAAAATAACTCTGTTGAATCAGAAATGAATCTTAACTTGTTAAAAAAAAAAAAAAAAGTTATGGGCAAGAGAACAAGGAAAGGGAAGTACTGTTGAGAAACAGAGCCTTTATTTCTTCCCCTGGTGGTTAGAAGAACCCCACAGGTCTCCAGGCAGCAGCTCCCTGCGTTCCCTACATCCCTATACAAAATAGGACTTACCCGTGGCGCTACCGCTTCGGGGCGAGCCCGGCTGGGACATGCTCTCTGCACGCTTCAGCACCGGGGACAGCTCCGGACTCGCTAACTTCGCGCACTCGTCCTGGCTGGGCGCTGCGGCCTGAGCCTCCCAGGCTGCCGGCGGATAGGCCGTCGCTACCCGCCCGGGTCCTAGCCTCCGGGTCTTGGGAAAGGCGAATGTGTCTTTTCGAGCAGCAGGAGTAGCGGCTGGCTCCTCGCGCTGCGGTGGCGACGAGCCCAAGTGCACCACAGAGCTGCGGGACCGAGCCAGCGCAGAGGAGAAGGAGCCCATCTCAGCGGGCCACTCTGGGCCCAGGTGAGCGGCCACGTCTCTCCAAGGGACCCACACCCCTTCCCAGCCAGCGACTTACACCTTCCTCTAGCAGGAGGGCCCCCAGTCTCTGCTCCGCCTCTGACCCCGCGGGTTGCAGCCCCTTCTGGCGGAGGAGGAGAAGGCTGAAGGGAAGGCGTGCCCCAGGGTGGACCCAGAACAATCTGGGCGTTTCTGTGCCCGACAGTCTGGTAAATGAGGAAACTTGGAGGGGTCGGCGTGCAGCTGCAGTCTAGGGACCTTACTGAAGGGTGGGGGAAGGAAGAGGCGTGGCATTAAAGTGAGAGATACTTTTTTCTCTACTTTCTGTACTTGGTTGGTTCACCTGGGGCCAAGGGCCTGGAGTGTCCTTGCTGCTCCTTTCTGGGCCTCCTTTGCCCCCCCGAAAGATTGGAGGGTTTAGTGAGGGTAGAGGAGGAACCTACATTTGTTTTCTTCTCAATTACTCTTCTTAGAGCCAATGTCACTACACTTCCAGACTGTGTTTTCTAGAGGAGCCCTGCTCCCAGCTGTCCCTGAAGATTTGGCAATCCCCCTCCCCAGCATGCCTCCTCCCTTGGCCCTCACCCTGGGCGCCTTCCTCTGTGGAAACCAAGACTTTGGGGGCTGGAAGGTTTGAAGTCTCAGAGGATGGTGGAGGCGCAAGGGGGGACCACTCAGATAATTCCTTGCAGGGAAGCAGGGAGGCAGACGCCAGCGGGCCTTGGAGGCTCTCAAGACGGGAAGCCAAAGCATCCAGGGGCCATATTAACAGGCCTACACAGCTGGCCCCAGCTTTTCTCTGATTGCAATGGAAAGGTGGTGAGACCTAATGTGGGACCAGAAGCAAAAAGGGAAGCCTGGTATTATGTTTCAGCTAAAATCCTGTTGCCCTGATAGGTTTTAGGTCTTACCCAAGGTTATGCAGCCAGTTGGTGGTTGGGTTGGGTTTTATGTCTGGGACCCCTTTATTATTTATTTATTTATTTATTTATATTTGACAGAGGGAGACAGGGAACACAAGCAGGGGGAGTGGGAGAGGGAGAAGCAGGCTCCCCGCAGAACAGGGAGCCTGATGAGGGGCTTGATCCCAGGACCCCGGGATCATGACCTGAGCCGAAGCAGATGCTTAAAGACTGAGCCACCCAGGTGCCCCTGGGACTCCTTTTTCTAGATCCAGTCTCCTACCATACTGCTTCCCATTTCAAAGGTTTTCAAGCATTGAACTGTGAAGTCAAACAACTGCGTGATACACAGCATATCTAAGGTTGAAGTGTGTGAAAAGAAAGACTTTATCAGTGATTCCACAATTGGCCTGGGATCCATCCTCCCTTCCTCCTCATTCAGTGCCCTTTCTGTGACAGCATGACACTTGACATTGTCATCTGTAAAATGGCATACAAATAAGTATATGTAAAGTAGTATTAGCACAGAGGTAGCTTCCAGATCAATGAATCCCAAGATGAAAAGAGAAAAAAAGTTTTTAAAATCTTCAACTGTGGGGCACCTGGGTGGTTCAGTCAGTTAAGCATCTGCCTTACGCTCAGGTCATGATCCCAGGGGTCCTGGGATTGAGTCCCACATTGTACTCCTTGCCCAGCGGAGAGCCTGCTTCTCCCTCTGCCTGCCATTCCCCCTGCTTGTGCTCTCTCCCTCCCTCTATGACAAATAAATAAATAAAATCTTTTTTAAAAAATAAAATAAAATTGGGCGCCTGGATGGCTCAGTGGGTTAAGCCGCTGCCTTCGGCTTGGGTCATGATCTCAGGATCCTGGGATCAAGTCCCGCGTCGGGCTCTCTGCTCGGCAGGGAGCCTGCTTCCCTCTCTCTCTCTCTCTCTCTCTGCCTGCCTCTCTGTCTACTTGTGATTTCTCTCTGTCAAATAAATAAGTAAAAATCTTTAAAAAAATAAAATAAATAAAATAAAATAAAGTAAAATCCTCAACTGCTATTTAGAGAAGATAAGTCAGGGAATTAACTTGAATAGGACACCTTTGGGTCTAACACAATCCTCTGTTCTTAGCATTGTTTGCTGTGAGGAGGGCAAAAGCTGAAATCTATGGACCCTCTACCATTTAAGGAAACACACACTATGATCCCCATACCATATAAGGACCATGCAGTGTCCTCTCACCTCTCCTAACACTACAAATTCATCTTCTCAGGTCAGTCAAAAGGAATGCAACAGGGTCTACTTACCCAGATGTCTGTATGGCTATATTGATTTTTTTTTTTATTTTAATCACTTTTCATTCTTCCCTTGCTCACCTGATGGATTAATTGTCCCTGGTATAAATTCTCACTCTGGGCAAAGGACTTTTTAGAAAGGGAACTCCCTGGGTAGATATTCCCTATTTTTTCTTTTATTTTTTTTAATCTTTATGTTTTTATTTTTTACTTTTTTATAAACATATAATGTATTTTTTTTTTAAAGATTTCATTTATCAGAGAGAGAGAGGGAGAGAGAGCAAGCACAGGCAGACAGAACGGCAGGCAGAGGCAGAGGGAGAAGCAGGCTCCCTGATGAGCAAGGAGCCCGATGTGGGACTCGATCCCAGGACGCTGGGATCATGACCTGAGCCGAAGGCAGCTGCTTAACCAACTGAGCCACCCAGGCGTCCCACATATAATGTATTTTTATCCCCAGGGGTACAGGTCTGTGAATCGCCAGGTTCACACACTTCACAGCACTCACCATAGCACATACCTTCCCCAATGTCCTTAACCCCACCCCCCTCTCCCGACCCCCCTCCCCTATTCTTGCACTTGGACTTGATTTTCTCGCAAACCTGACATAGGCATCATTAGCAATAGTATAAAGATAGGTGTGGAAAGAGGTAAGATGTTCTGGACTTAGGCTAAGTGACATATTCCATTTGGCTGTGCCTGTTGTGAAAGTACCTAACATAGTATTTCTGAATGGGATGGTAAAGAACTGCTACCCTAAGCCTCCAGAGTTCTCTCTGCCATACCAGCTAACCCAGGCCTTTCCCAGGACACACATTAGCACACATACACACCTTTCTCCTGGAGGGAGGTTCAGATCAACAGAGTTTGGTTGATGTTGCTGCTGCTGCTAACCAGAGTCTCCCAGTTCTCTTGTCAGTGAGAAGAGATGAGCCTGGAAAACTAAAAAGTCCTCTTTTTCCATGTGCATTTCAAAAAAGGGGGCTTTGTATGGTTAAAGGAAACTGTTAAGAGAACGTGCTAGCTATAGGTGATATTTTCATGGCCCTTGCCTTTCCTCTTCCAGGCCTCTGACCTGATTCATGAGAGACAGGAGGTCTCCCTCCAGATTTCCACTGGTGGATGCTCTGCAGAGTATGCATTGAGGAGCATTGGAAAGACCTTCTGACTTACCCATCAAAATCCTGCAGAGATGACACCAACTAGGTGCCTTCGGATCCTGAAGGTTTTAGTATTGGCAGTGTTGAATTTTACCTGAGCCCTGTACTCCTGTAAAATAATGAAGGCTGAGAAGTCCCCTGCCCTACCATATTCTGTAAAATGGCTTACTACAAAATCACCCTTCTTCAAATGACTTCGATAAGACCCAAGGTTGCCTCTTCATTTACCTATGACAAAGCTAGGACACTGATCCCCCAAATTTCCATTGTTTGCCTCATAAATGATTAGCTGAACTATTTCATCCCCACTGATCAACTGGACAAAATGCTTCTTAACCAAACTTTAGTTAAGCTTCCCTCCTTTCTCCAGACCTCTGAACTTTGGCCTGCTCTCATCCTGAGCCAGCACACAACCCTCCTGAGAAAAGGCTGGGCTCAGGGTAAAATATTCCCTGATCTACTATCCGATACTGTCACCCCTTCATCCCACTACACTACATCCAGTTCTTTCTGGCTTTGTTTACTCCTCTGTATTAAAAAACAAAAATGAGGGGCACCTGGGTGGCTCAGTGGGTTAAGCCTCTGCCTTCAGCTCAGGTCATGATCTCAGGGTCCTGGAATCAAGCCCCACATCGGGCCCTCTGCTCAGCAGGGAGCTGCTTCCCTCTCTCTCTCTCTGCCTACTTGTGATCTCTCTGTCAAATAAATAAATAAAATCTTAAAAAAAAAAAAAAAACGAAAACAAAAAGCCCTTTTGCCTAACTCTTTAGACAATTGCAGATCTCATGGTCAGGGCATTCTCCCAATTGCAATAATCCCTCCCCCCTTGCAACAATCCTTCAAATAAAGCCTCTCCTTACTAAGTTCAGATTTGTTTTCTTTGACATCATCTTTAAGAATCTCTTGTGGGGGGGACGCCTGGGTGGCTCAGTTGGTTAAGCAGCTGCCTTCGGCTCAGGTCATGATCCCACTGTCCTGGGATCGAGTCCCACATCGGGCTCCTTGCTCATCGGGGAGCCTGCTTCTCCCTCTGCCTCTGCCTGCCATTCTGTCTGCCTGTGCTTGCTCTCACCCCTCCCCCCCCCATGTACAAAAAAAAAAAAAAAAATCTTTAAAAAAAAAAAAAAAAAAAAGAATCTCTTGTGGAGGACTGCCTGGGTGGCACAGTCATTTAAGTGCCCAACTTTTGGTTTTGACTCAGGTCGTGATCTCAGGGTTGTGATCTCAGGGTCGAGGGATCTAGCCCCGTAAGAGCCATGTGTGCAACTCTGGGTGAAGCCTGGCACCAAGTCCCTCATCAACCCCTGTGATGGGCTCAGAATCTGCTTAAGATTCTCTCTCCCCCTCCCATGCCCCTCCCCATCAACCGTGAGAGTTCTCTCTCTCTCTCTCTGATGAATAAGTAAATAAAATCTTTAAAAAATAATAAAAATGAAAAAAGAATCCCTTGTAGACTATAAGTATCCCTATGAGAGAGTACTTTAAGCCTTAGTTAGTTAATGCTTTTTATGGAGATTAATTACCCCTGTCTGAGTAACGTAGGAAAGAGGGTAGGAAAGAATACTTTGAGAACCCACCGGGTACTAGACACAACCCTGGATAATATATATAGTTTGTCTCATTTAATCCTTACAA